CCCCAACCCTCACATTTTCCACTAGACCATCTCTGTTTGTTAGTATCAGGTCTAGCARCGCCCCTCCCCTTGTTGGCTCCTCAACCACCTGCGTCAAGAAGTTATCTGCAATGTTCTGCAGGAACCTCCTGGACTGTCTGTTCCTGGCTACGTGGTTTTCCCAGCAGATATCAGGGTGGTTGAAGTCCCCCAGGAGGACTAGGGCCTGTGATCGGGAGGCTTCCCGCAGCTGCCCATAGAAGGCTTCGTCCACTTCCTCGTCCTGGTCAGGAGGCCTGTAGTAAACTCCCACCACSGTGTCGCCCCTGCTGGCTTGCCCCTTTATCCTCACCCRCAGGCTCTCTACTCGCGTTCCATTCTCCCCTATGCTGAGCTCTAAGCATTCCAGTTGTTCCCTCACATAAAGAGGGAAAAGTTTTGCCTTAGAACTGACTTAAAATCTAACGAGATACCGCTGCATGAAAGGAGAAACTTCAGATTATGGCAACTGGCGGGGCACTCGCTCTTAATAACCCACGATTCACGCCAGGGACAGTCGGCACACGGCGGGACGCAACCTCGAAGGCCTCGCACAGCCCCTTCCCCACACACRTTGCTGGGGCCTGAACTGCAAAACGACAACATAAACCCCCCCGTGATATTCCTGGGCTTCGGAGCTGCCTGGCTAACTATCCACTCACTGAAAATGGGTACTCATTTCTGAGCATTTAGCAAAGTAGTATTTTTATTAATGTTTGCTTTCTTTTGGGACCTGTGAAGTTTTATGAACACAAACCAAATCAAACTCAAGGAAAAGAAAAAGAACTACCCCCACACACAAACACAGCTTCCTCTCAATTTATTTGGCAAAGTAGCAATTCAGACAGTTCATATAGCATTTATTCAAACTCTTCACGTCTGCATTTTATCTTGTCCTCTTCTCGAAGAAGCTTTTACTTCAGAACCATTGTTCAATCATGGAGGGGTCTTCTTTTCCCAGTTCCTAAGTGCTACTCTTGGATGCTCCTGTCCGTCCCAGAAACTTGACCATCGTCAACCCCTTCTGTGCAATGGGCCAACCAAGCCCAACCGCCTTGGTCCCGAAGTCTTGCACTTCCCTGAAGACTGAAGTTCTCTCTCTAAAAACGTTGTTGCTAAGTCTCAGCTTTATCACCCGTTTGAGTCAGGCTGGTTTATCACACTGTGCCCAGAGACAAGCAGTTGGATACAGCTGAGCTCTTCTCTTCCATTTAACTGATTCAATTAGTGAGAAGACGCAAATAAAGCTGAACTCAAACTGAATGGTAACAGTGACCCAAAGGTTGAACATTAGCATGCATCATTTCAGATACTTCAYTTCAACACCAAGAACTAGATTCACATTCGATTGTGGATTAGTAAAAGGTTGCCAGACGCAAGTGGGTTTTTCTGAATTGTGCTTTCCAGAACACAACATATTATTTCCTTCATAAGATTGATCTTTGTGTATGTGCTCCCAGGCTGCAGTCAGATCAGRAGGTGGCACATTATCTCCCAAAACATCTCAACAAATTAAAGTGATACATAGCTTCTACTCAGGAATACGACGGGAGTGACCTTCAAAAGGAGGGTTATTGAAATGGTCCTCTTTCGTATTCAGGGGTCTTTGACTTYAACCTTTACGCTTTAAGTGATTATTCCTATCAGAAAAATATTGCTGTTCTGCCATAAGCAGCCAGATACATTTGCAGCGATCACTATGGGCTGCTTTTATGCAGGTTATTTTACTCTGTAATCCTTTTTAATATAAAAAAAAAAAAAAGGAATAACATGCAGTTCAATTTGTTTCCTCAAAACTGAGCAAGAAGAACCTCCTGCTTCCTCCCTCTCCCAAAGCAGCTCAGTCTTACTTTATTTTACCTGTTGTCATTTTAGGAAAAAAAAAAAACCAAGCAAAAAAAAAAAAAAAAAGAGCAGAAAAAGGTTTATACCATTCCAACCTTGAAAATCGAGCAATTACACCTCTGAGTGTCCAGGATTTGGTATTCGTTCAGTACCTATCAAGTTTTCCTTGTATAAGAAGTTGAATTCACCTTCTAAGAAACTACACCAGCACTTTTCCTGGCTGAATGAGAAAGCGAACACAGCAGGTAGTTTTGTCAAAAGCACCTTGCATTTAAAATTAATCTAAAAGTTCATCTGCTTCGAACCTGGAGATCTGCATCTCTGCAGTCTTCCACATGGTGATCCTAAGCCTCCACACAACAAACACACGACCCCTTTTTGCTTTTCGCTTTATTTGGCAAAGCAGCACTGCATAAACTGTTCAGTGATTGGGACATAGCTTATGTTATATTCATGGAGTTAAATCCACATGTATCGTATCAGCAGTGAGCTATAAAACAACACAGAGCTTCAAGACTCTGTAATTGTTTTGGAAGGAAAAGGGAAAAACCATGTTCGTTATGTCCAACTTGAACAGCACAGTTTAATAAGAGCGGCCACCTCTGATATCTTTAATATATACAAATGCCTGGTTTTAAGGTAATAAAGCAGCTGATTGTATCTACTACATGCTAGTCTATGACACCACGCCAAAAGCTTGAAAAAGGAAGTTCAGCTCCTTTTAGTAGCATCTAGCAGACGTCTGAACACATAAAACCCGGTATTACTTACGTAGTGTCATAAGGTGCAGAGAAGCAGTTTTACCGAGGGACACGGGAGCGGAGGGAAGTGAGTGTTCAAGTACCCCCATCACAATTAGTGTTCACAAGCTATAGGTCTTTATCTGCGGTTTTGCAGAAATTCATTTCTTCAAACAGATTAAAGTAAAATAAAGGCATGTTAAACGAAACAGTGCCCACAAAACTTTCCACCATTTCTTTTTTTTTTTTATATCAGATTTGCCTTGAGCATCTAAAAAAATAAAACAAAAATAAAACAAACACCACGCTTTTCCATGCTGATAACAACAGTATAACGAAGTCCAAAACAAGCTGCAATGCTGTTGGTTTTCAAAAAGCTTTTAGAACTGGAGATGAGCAGTCCACTGTAACACTATGTTTGGGTCAAGATGATGTAGCTTTACAATTCATCCCTGCAGAAAGAAAACACACGCAGTTATGATTCCTCTTCCCTATGAATTCACTTTTTTTTTTTTTTTTAATATTGAATTAGATTACATGTAACGGCCAAACACAGCAGCAAAATGCCAGAAATCTCTTCAAGCATTTTAGCAAAAAGAAAACGCAAATCCCAGCAATCCCATAACCTCTCATACTACTATGTGACACGACATGAAATATGGGTGCCTCCCCTGTCTTGGACTCCCTGCAGCATCTGTGTCAATGAGGTTCATTTGTGTCAATGAGGTTCATTTGTGTCAATGAATATCTCCCACCTCCCAAAACAGAGGAGCTCAGAAGAGTTGCGTGGCTACCTGCGGCCCAAACGCTGTTGCGTGTTCACAAGAACCCAGGCCAATTCTCTAGACAGAGTGTTGGCAAAAAGCATCCTCAAGAGGTGCCAAAACGCAGGTTCAGCTGCAGCTGCACTCTCTGGGAAGCCAGGAACRTAATCTCACATCAGCGATTTAGAGCTTGCACCATCTAATTTATTATTTATCTGGGTAGCTCATGAAGGAGCTACATGCCAAGTCGGAATGACGTTAAGGCAAGCAGAGAAGAGCAGAGGGTTTTCTAAAACAACAGAGACTTACAAAGGAGAAAAAGAGTACATCAAAAAGTATCTCTAAAGCACTATGAGGACTCCAGAAAAATACAGGCATTTGCTCCTACAGGACATTTAAAACACACTGACACAGAGAACCCATATTCCAAGAGCGGAATTATGAGGCATTAGTGATTTAAATGTATCCCTGTAAACCCATGAACTGGAGTGCAGAGCGCCCACCCAGTGCGCAGGCYGTGCCCCATCCCACTGCACTGGTGGTTGGACAAGCTGAACCGGAGCGCTCGCCTTATTCCCAAGCACCAGCACCCCACAAACTGAACCGAGTTTGCAGCAGTTTTTCTTTTAGTAGATTCATCATCCTCGTTAGTGAAAGCAAACACTGCTTTAACCCAGAAAAACCTCACTAAGGTGGTTTTGGGTCTACTACGTAACAGTATTTCCAGCTATCATGCATCCCGAGTGCCACATGCACGCCAGCAAAAGCTTGGAGGTTAGCAGGACGTTGTCTTTCAGGAATCACACAGCACGGAATGACAGCATGCGGAGTGTTTAAAGAAAAGCTGAGAAGGTTGTTGAAGCCAGGGCTTAAATTACAAGTTTTCTGTTTAATGCAGCTGGAATGTGAAACAAGATTGGTGATAAATATTTGCATTCTTTGCACTTTGCATTGCCTTCTAATAGTGAGGACCTAAATGTAATAAAGCCTCGGAGTGTTGCTGCGTTTTGAGGAAGTCAAAGAGAGAAAACAAATCTTGACAGGATAAAGAGAAATCTGTTTCTAGCCAAATGTTTGGAAGTTCTCCACAGTTGCCTCCTTCACAGAGGATTTATTTCAAACAGATGAAAATAAACTAACAAAAGCTATTTTATGAAAATAAACTAACAACTGATGCTGGGCTTYGAGTGTGCCGCAGGTGAAGTGAGGACAGGAACCTCATTCATCCCCAATGCCCCCAGGAGCTGCACCACCAGTTCATATTTACGGCATGTAAACAGTGACTGCTGCTGCTTAGTCTCGTACGCCTTCTTCCTGATGTGATTTTCATCCTGAATCCCACCAAATCCATTTAAAAACTTTCTCACAGCTTTATAAAAAATGGCATTCTACTGTGATAAACAGTCCTGAATTCTTTAAACCAAACCTACATCCTCAAAAAAGAAAAAATCCTAAGGATATGAAAAATTCCACTTTTGTTCTGCAACTGTTAAACCTCACAATTCTACCCATCCACAAAATTTGGCAAGGCTTTTGCACTTAAGATATTTGAATATTTTTCTTTAGAAAAACTTTTTGTTCTTGGAATTCAAATGAGTAATAGACACTATGATGTCAAYGCTTTGTTGGTGTTTTATGTTAATTAAGCTGCTTCTGACAAAATGAGTAATGCTCCTCTAAACTCAAACATACCTCAATTCAGAAGTCACCGTCAAAATTAAGATTTTCCTATTCTGCTTATCTAAACATTGACTGTCCTTAAGGGGATCAGCTTCCATCAAGGACTTTTTMCCCTCACTCTTCACTAGTTGTTGAACCCAAGAGCAGCATGCCAGGCCACAACAACCCATGATATACGCCTCAAAACTAGGCAGTATTTCCTCCTCCTGTAACGAGGAGCTGATCTCACATGCACACTATTGGATTACACGTATTTGAAAGTTCGGCAAAGCCTGGGATAGTCAGAGCAGAGTCTCCCACYGGCTACCCAACGTAAAGGGTCTGCAGACTTACCCAGCCAGGGCAGCACCGACTCGTTGACATTAACTGTGATGGGATAGAGCAGAAGCTTCCTGCCCGGCCACAAAACCCACCGGCTCTCGACAGTAACCCTACCACGATAGCAGGACACCAMCCCGTCCTGCCAGTGTTAAAAGATTCATGTGCTACGAAGCTTATGAGCAGACTCCCACAGAGACTGCCATTCCCCTGACAGGATACGCTCTTGTCCTCTGGGAACACTGGGAAGAGCTAACAACTGGCACTTTTCTCCCCATTTCTGGCTATTCTTCCTCCGTCTTCACAGCACTTTCTCCACTCTGCCTCATGGCTCCTGCTTAGTAGGCAATACATGTAGCTCAAAATTGTTATTCTAAAACAATATTAAAAAGTTTGGCTTAGTAGGAGGGGACATAAGTATCAAGAACATGCCACAACTTTATGGGGGAAAACAACAAAAAATTAAGAAGGCATTTTAGGAATATGTCACTGCTCATTATTTAAAAAGAACACAAATAKCAAGAAGTTTCCAACAGAGGTAAGTCATGGCATTTATATACGTATGATCTCTGTCTTCTTGGTGGAAAGTTCAAATTAAGTATTTCAACAGTGTATAAAAGATTATATGTAATTTGCACTTTTTCATCCATTTCAGCTTTCTTGTCATTAGGCAGCATTTGACTTTCCCTTTTTGATATATTATTTATGAAAATATGCTATATGCTATCATTACTGATACTCCTAGGATCCAACTACCCTGTGAATTTGCAGCATTTACCCAATCAGCATTTCCATAGCCAATTATTTCTCCCTTCATAACCTTTAAGGTAAATAAAAATAGACCCAGTATTTACACCTGAAGCACTTTCATCTGGACAGGTGCTCTTCTAAAATATTTATTATGATGAATCATCAGATTGAAAAAGCTCAAATGACAAAATAGAACCTCTCTGCAACCTGCTACACATGTCACATCACACGCATACTTGTATGACATCAACTTGCCATTTAAGCTGAAGGACTTCTTGCAGAGATTTTTTTTCAGCCATGATAAATTAAAAATTTTAACCATAGTCTTAATTCTACATAGTCTAAGAGATTTGGGACTCAAAATTCCTGCTAATTTCAACTGAAATTAGMCAAGTAGTTCACTAGAGGTCTTTGAAGTATTAAATACAATTCTCTAAGGAGAAACATGTTGAAATATTTACTGATAAATGTATTTTTTCAAAAGGGTGTTTAATCACATTGTATGCAAAGATAAGTGGCATACAGTAACATCCCTCAACTATTTATAGGTTTTGTTCTATAAAGTAATGGTCACTATGAGTTTGTAATTGATCAACAAACATAAATTTAGCAAGACCTTTTTAAGTCATTTATACTAACTCAACGTTTTAAGTCAATTAAAATGTAATATGTTCATTGCTTTACACCATTTTTCTTAGGAAATAAAGCCAAGCTTTTCTTAGATGACTATTTTCTAATTAGCCTCTCCATTTAAGTTTTTAATAAAGTCCTGCAGAAAACTAAAGTCAAAGAGCTAGTGATTTACACAAGAACTGCTAATAMGGCAGCCACTAAGCTGTGTTCTCAATGGAGAAGCATGAGTGGTCTCACCTTCTCCCTGCACCTATTTCAGTAATAAACAGAATTAATAGCTGGGATGCTTAATGAGAAGTGATAAACATCCTTACCTGCATAACTGTGTAAATGCATAAAGGTGTAGTAAACTACTACTRTATCAGTGGTACAAAAATATATCTTTACTTCGTACCCCAGGGCTACCTGCAATCTAACTACACTATTGCAGCTAAATCAAATGCAGAAAAAAGTCACTAATTTTAAAAAAACACAAGAATATTCATAAGACTTTCAATATCAGCACATCACTAGTGAATACCCTATTTGAGATCCTTTCGTTCAGTTCAAATTTTCTTTTGCTCCAAGTTCCACCTCTGTACATACAAGAATGACGCAGAGTATCTGAAGGCAAATTTAACCTCGAGGACCACTTGGAGAATAAATATCATGCAATACAGCCAATACTAGAGATAAAGTGAGATTTTAAAAGTATGTTTAAAGCTACCTTAAATCTGTAATTCTGTATCTTATTCCATTTACTGTGCCAGATTGTGTTTTCATGTTGCCTGTGAAAAATTAATTTGAAAGCAGTTCTTTTCACCCATTTCTTTGAGAGGCTTTTAAGAGAGAGAGAGTGAGTCATGGAGATGATATTTAACCTGCTCCAGGCAGGAGAAAAGCTGCAGGAGGACGACACTTAATTTCTCTAACTCCCAGTAGTGGCTGGCAACAGCCTCACGCTTACACCGCTGTGCTGCTTTATACAGAGCACCTTGTGTCCTGCTATGGGATAGTACTAACTACTGCAACCTATGCATGGCCAAAGGAAAATTCAAGGAGCTTCCTCCTYGCAAACTGGAGGGTTTGCTAGCCTAGGAACACGCTGGCCGAGCCATTTTAAACCGTTCTGTGAAGCACCACCAACTCTTAAGGCAACAGAAGAGTTATGCCACTTACACTGCTAGTGGAGGTAGCAGTGTTAACTAGGAGGAAGATGTGGGAATCTTGCACGTGAGAATCTTGATCTCCCCTAAAAAGACAACTGCTCACACCCAGCTACTGAAATCCAATTAATTTTGCATTTACAGCAACTCTTTAATGTAGAAAGAAAAACAATCCGAAAATGTTTCCTCAGAGGGGTTGCTTGCTGATCTTCAATCACCGATCTGCAAACATTTTGAAAGTGCAGTCTAAGCAGTGCAGAAGGAACATCCTTCACCTCTCACTCTCGCATGGGCAGCAAGCGCTGCCTCAGGTGGCAGTTTCCTCACTTCTGGCTCAGAGATAACAAGATGAAATCYCTTGGACCTCAGGTTCTGGAGGTTCTGGACCTCAACCTTGAAAAGGCAATGGGAACCTTCTTCAGAGCATGGGAGGGTAACTTAAAAACAAACAAATGTTACAAGAACTGTAACATTTTAGAGCTGTCCTTAAGAGAGATCCCCAATCTGAAGCAGATTTAAATATATATTGGAAGGAAAAACCTCTATGGCACTGCAGTGACTGAAGTATCCCTTCTTGCTATTTATATTCTTCACTCACCTTCTCTGGTAGCACCGATATATACTCCTGCTACTAAATAAGCAATTCGGGAACTATCTTGAATAAGAATAGAAACTCAAAGGAAAATCTAAGGAGGAAGGTCCAAAGTCAATCTATTGCTCAACCTCCTGAATTGGTGCAGAAAAAGGAGTTCAAAATTTCATAGAGAAGAGCTGCAAAGGCCTCCCAATCCTAGTTCTAAATACTCAATACCACCAGTGGAGAGGAGTATTTGTGCACACTCCAGAAACCCCGCAACAGACAGTGTCTAGGAAACAGCAGCACCTGATGCTGTAAAGAGAAGAAGCGGAAACGAAAAAAAGTATAAAATCTCTCTGCACCAATAAGAAAGGCTCAGAAATAACACCTCTTTTTTCAAAGCACGCAGAGCAGCACTGTGATTTGAATGGGGTCCTCACGTTTGCCAGAGGAGGACACGGAGCGCGAGGCGTGGCTTGCACAGASGTGGGAAGGCCGGGAGAACCAGGCGGAGGGAATTCCTGGCACTACGCGAGGCAACGCGCCCATGTGCATCCCAGCCAGGAAACACCTGGGGCGCCAGCACCCAAAGCTGCCCAGGCTTTGGGTTAGGCAGCAACTCTAAGGAGCTAAACGTAATTTGTACGCAGCTGCTACGTGTAATCCACCAAGCACCAAAGTGAGTCTGCACTACTGCTCCTAGCTGAGACCTGCTTTATTTGTGCTTTTTATGTACATTCTCATAATTTAAACTTACCCACGCACACACCTCACTAATGCAGCTACCACATTCACAAGTTTCTTTCTGTCCAGGAAGCAAAAGGGGCCTGCTCCTTTTTTCACTTGCATACCAGTGCCTAGAATGGTTTAAGATGCCAGCAGGCTAYGCCTGTGCTATTGGCTATCCAGGTTAGCACACTGGAAGGTCTCCTACCTCTAAGAAAGCTCTTAGAGTTTGCTGTGCTGGAGAATACAAGTACGGCCCTTKTCATCAGAAACAGGTGATAGACTTTTATTAACATGTCAGAGAAAAATCTTCTGGGCACTGCTCAACAGCATCTGTTCTTTAAGAGGGAATTAACTTCTCCATATTTTGCTACTTGGTGGCCCAGGCAAAAGTACTCAGGAGACTACCTAAAACACCCCATTAAGATCTTAGAAAGACTCTTCTTCACTTGTAAAATTAAATAGATGTGTGTGTGTGTGTGTGTGTGTGTGTGTGTGTGTGTATATAAATATATGTGTGTATATGTGTGTGTGTGTATATATATATACACACATACACACAAAAAACGAGCTCTCAATTAACATGAACTTGCAGGACAAGACAACACTTACTCTGAAGCACTCTACCATAGGTACTGGGAAGGACAGTTTAAAGAGGTCAGGGAAGGGAAGTTCAGGTTTAGAAAACACTGTGCTCAAAAACAGCGAGTGAGAAACTTCCAATACAACAAAAGACTGCAGAGAACATGAGTCCAAAGGAGACAAAGTGCAACCCATGCAATATTTTTCTTCCACTTTTAATTTAACTTAAACTTAGCGTAACCTCCTTTTGGTGATGTAGGAATGCAGACTGAGTCACTTGTCATGGCATGGAAGAGCAGAAAGCAATGACAGCAGCAAAGGCAGGCCTGGCAGTCTATCTGCTTAAAATTCACACCCTTTCACCTTGCGTGTGTGTGGAAGAAGTAAGTGGAACAGAAAATCACTTCCACCTGGACCACTGCTTCTCTTTATCTGTTAAAGGCACATATATCACTCCCATCAGAGGCTTCATTTTGACACTGCCGTCTTCTAGCTTGTCATACTGTTCGAGCATCTGGTTTCCCCCCGCGGGGCCGACGGGTAGTATCAATCTTCCGCCGGGTTTTAACTGGTCTATGAGCTAGAACACAACACAGAAATTAGTGTAACCAGGCACGGCAGAAACACTGCCTGTAACGTTCATTGTATTCAGCGAATAGTTTTGCCACATTTTATCTGTGACTCTGCAGGACATAACTACTTCAATTGAAAAACGCAATGCAAACAACAGTAACACAACATTAAATAACTGATATTACAGAAAAAAATCACAGTAATTTCATATAATTACCAGAGATTTCAGATTTGTGACATTTAGTTTATTTATCTTTCAGGAATAAATAAGCTCAGTACCCAATAGCCCCTCATCCATTCTGTGGATGCAGTAGCATTTTATGAGACTAGTCTGTAATACTCAAATATGAGCAGCATAAAGTGACAACTAACAGAACATGTGAAGTAACTGCTTGGAAACTTTTTTTTTCTTTGAGGTTAAAGGAGCAGGAAGGTGTGAAAGAAATTTAAATTTCATAATTCAGTGTTGAATAAAGTGTCTTTAACTTTATTAAGCAAATCACTCAGTTTCATTGCAGTAATGCAGATGGTGAACAGACTATTTAAAAATCTATATTTATTTCCAAGGAAGTTATGAGGTCATGCAAGTCTTGCAAAGCAATGGGAAACCAAYTCCAACAAAACCAAAAGAACTGCACCAGGCACTTATCTTACCTAGGGCACTCCAGCTGTGCACATCTATCAAGTATTTTAACTAAAAATTTATATGTAACTAATGTAACTATAAAAGGAAATTTTTATAGGAAAAAAAAAGTTTCCAGAATCAGATACAGAAAACAAAGTCTTACTGCTTGGGGCACAACTGGTGCTGCAGCTCCTACGTGAATGGCATCATAGGGAGCTTCCTCTGCATACCCCATTCTTCCATCTCCCACTGCAAGAAAACACCTTTTTAACTTTTTCAAAAGATCAACACCTGATCTAGAGGTAAATATAAGGCTGTGCTCAAATTTCAACTAAAATTTTCACCTGTTGAGCTGTAGTAACATGATAAAAATAACCYTATAAAGTACAGTTATAAAATAATTTTAACATAAAAAACCTTCATACATATRCACACAAATAAACACACTTATAAAATAGATAAAAATACCACTGATAAAAAGCCTTGAATCCAGAAAGCAGAGTGTACAATGAAATTYCGTGGTGACACGTGGGCCATGCAGGAAGGACCTGAGCACCCCTGGCTCCTACCGTTCCAACGCAGGTGACTTGCCCTCATTGCCGTGTCTAAAACTAAGCTTCCCGTTGCAGAGCCGTTGCTCAGCCCAGCACTGCGCGACGGGCTCCGCGAGGCCGCTGTACACTTGCATACGGGTGTCCTGTGCTCCCCACGCGGCCCCGCTGCTCACGGAGGGTCTCACTGTCACTCGGGCAGCCCACAAGCCGTGGGGCTAGCGCTGAGGGCCATGTCGGGCCTGTGGCAGCAGCCCCAGAGAGCTGCTGGCCCCAGCGCGGGGCAGCCGCGTTACTGGGAGGGCGACGGACGCGGCTGGAGCTTTGCTTTGCTCAGCACGCGCAGTYGCTTGGGGTTTCCCTGCTCCAGGCTCAGCTTACACCGTTCAAAGRACACCACTACTGCCGCAGACTAAGGAAGATGCCAGGTGAATTAAATGAAGCTCCGAGTCCCTGGTAGCAGCTGAACACTGTCAATTTTTGCCTTTCAACAACTCACAAAGCAGGGAAAACACAAAGTGAGCGTGGCAGGTTTGGTTTGACCTCAGGGATACCGAAGGTCCCCTTGATGGCAATGACACACCAAAAAGCATCCACAAGCCTACAGGAACATCGGCAGCTCCTTGAAAGGATTAAATGCAGTGACTTTGCTATCTGTCAAGGACCCATGGTGACCTCCTACACCCAATGCTAAATGACTATGAACAGTCAGCATGTTTTCCTAGTTGCAAAAGAATCCTTTAAGGCTGATGGACATATTTCCTCATATAATCATGTCTAACCAATACAGGCTCCAACCAGGGGTCACAGGTGGAAGCTGCCAAGAACCACAGTACTGCAAGAGGACAGATGCTCACAGATTCTGAAGACTGAGGCACRCACTCTGAGACGCAGATGCACCTTGGCTCCTGTCCAGAGAGCCTGGCAAGATGCCTTCTGCACATGCTGTCACTGCTGYGGGTAGAAAGCACCTTAAAGATCCACATGGAGCCAGTGGTTCAAACCAGAGTCACTGTCTTCAGAATCAGTATCAAATAATCAGGATCCTTCACATGCACCATGCTATATGCATGCCCCCAAGGACAGCATGCTCGCTCCCTTTCAATATCCACAAATAAGTTCTCCTGGCTCTCCTGGCTATCAAATATATAGCCACTCACAACAGGGACATACTTTTAGCTGACCAGAGAATAATTTATTTTTTAAGCATGCATTCATTGTGGCACAAGAGTTATTCCATTATTCAGCATCCAAGGGAAACAGGAGGTCCTCCTCACATAAGAGAGTTTTGTGGCTTGCTTTTAAATCTAGAGCTGATCTGCTGATATCTAGACCGCTTTTTACTATTTTAAACTGCTGATAACGTACCAGAGTGTTCAGTGGCTCTGTGCCAAGCTGTTTCCCATAGGTAGCTGTGCCACCCAGCACGGGAAACTGCAATTCTTTGTTGTGGATGCCGGACCCGCATCACTTCTGGCTACGTCTGCATTAGTGAACAGAGCGGCACAATGGGGGCAGATCTGCAGGACAAAGCGGTTGGTGCTGACAACCTGCTGCTTCGCAGCACGTGCCTTTCAGCGTGTTTGCTCTGGCCTCGCTGTGACATCTCAAACCCCGCCGGTGGCTTCCCAAGCACACTGCAGCTTCCCCCAACACGGAGCAAATGTGTGCTCTCCAAGACCACTCTGTGATGAGAGCCAAAGGGTGCTAAATGGAAACGGCTGGAAGATGGACCTCAAAGCTCCTTCCCCTGTTCTGACAGGCATTTATGGTACACCTCAGGTGCAATGAAGCAATGGAGAACAATTCAAACATAACCTGTCAAAAAGCAGCGATTAACTTATCTTGCCTTAACTCACACAATTCCCCAACCCTGCTCACTGGATATTTTTGTTGTTTTATAGTTTTGACAGGATTCGAGCTCCACACGAAAGGACCCCTTGAATTCCACACAGTTGCAGTATTCTCCTGCTCCACCCAACTCACAAACCTGCTGTTCCTCCACCTCTGCTTTCTTCAGGCATCTCACAAGAAAACCCTCTGTGCAGAGCCCTTCTGCTACGCTGTCAAACAYAGTATAGGTGCTGGAATGCACTCTAGAACGCATTCCAGATTCCCCAAAGTGACCGAGTTTGATTTAGATGCATTTAGAAGCAAGTGTCCAAATTGCTCTTGCAAACAGCACCTGCAGAAACTGGACTCCCTGCTCCCCCTAGCAGTCCTAGCAGGATTTCTTTTTCAAGAAACTATCAGTCACACAGAATCCATCATCGGGAACACGTTCAGTACACATGCTCAAGCATCAGTACTGATTCCTTTAGTTCAAAATGATTTACAGAGTTCCTCATTTATGAAAAAAAGGGACAAAAATGGGAAGAATTTGGATAAGAATCAAGCAGCACAAACCGTATCTTTTCCCAACATTTTTGGAAGAATAGTCCCCAAAGAATCCATAGCCCTTGAAGTTCCTTTAATAACCTAACCAAATAATAATCATGCTAATGCTTTCCATCTGCCAGCTTTCCATCTTTCAAGAAAATACAAGGTTTTTCTTTTAAATGGGCATGATTTAGAACAGTTTGCTGTTTTTAGATAATTTTAGCATAATTTCCTCTCAAAAACTTTGATTTAAACCTGCTTGATACCAATTAACCACTTCTCTGACATGAACATATGTTCATTTTAAAAACAAATAAGATAAATTCCAGCAATGCATTCTGCCAATCTAGTACTTTTTTCCGCTTTTGATTTTTTGCATGCAACTTTTCCAATTACTTCATCAGAAGCAGGAAGACTTTGGGAGAATGAGTGAATTTAAATGATACTACATTAATTCAAGGAAAATTGGAGGATCAAGCCCAGGTTTAGACAGCAAATAACATTCGCAGAGCTTCTACATGAAAAGCATGACACAGAAATATATTTCCTTGTTAAATAAGTATCTGTAATAGAATGATTACATATTCTTTAAAACCATTGGAAACCATATACTCGAAAGTGTGCACAGATGACATTTTTCACAGGCCTAAAGAGGACTTAGATTACTAAGTTTTCAACTGGTTCTTGTTTCATTGGTTGCACTTCTAAAATCAGAACTTTTAATCATATCTAAATTCCAGACATTTGCAGCCAGTTGCTAGAAAGAATATCAGTTTAACTCGTATATCAGAGGATATCAGAGTCTGATGCTCACCAATCAGTTTCACTCTTCCTGAAGACAGCAATGTAGGATCATCTTTTTTGACATTATTTATTGAGTCATCTACTAGTTCTTTGATATGATCAATTCCTACAACTTGTCCTTTGGGACCAACCTGGAATAAAAATATACAATTGAATAATTTCTGCTAGTTTTGGTTTATTTATAGAATAAGTATTTTCATCTCCTGAACCCATATGTCTCAAATAAGAACAAAAACTCTTAAGTGATACTGTGTTTTCCCAATGTCATTAAAGCTACAGTTTAGAATCAGACATTCTGACTGCTAGAAGCAACATATATTTGAAGTACATCATACAGTTTCATAAATACTTGCTATAGCCATATTTTATGAAGTGAATCAGTTAACTCACACTACTAGTAGAGATTTCCATTCTCAGSTTTTAGAAGGTAAATTCTATCACACATATTTGTATTGCCCCCAATAGAGAGCGAAACCTTTAAGGACAAAGATTAGGACTAATCTCCTTTCACACTGTGTAAACTTACTTAAAGATTAAGGTTTTTCTAGAGTTGACCTTACTTTAAAGACAATAGTAAGTCCTGCATTTTCTTCTACATTATCTCAAAGGTCCTACCCTTTCAGAAGCAAGGCCACCAGTTAACAGCAAGGGAATAAGCAATTTCATCTCTTACATTCAYGAATCTACTTTCAGATTTATGATTCTCTTCCACAGGAAGAGTGGAACTTTTGAGAGCTCAAAACTGACAATGGTCACAAAATAMTGAGGGAATGGGATAAGAAGAGTTGGGGAAGTGGTCTCACAAAAGGCATATATTTTAAGGAAAAAAAAAAAAAACATTGGAACCAAAACTCTTCTGTTAGAGGCATTTCTTCTGGAATTGTCTCTCTATTCTAGAGAAGCCATTCCAGTTTTGGAAAGAGGTGAAAAAAGAACCAAATTCCCCCAAATCTGACTGCCTTTAACAAGATCCAGTTCAAAGAAAACAATGCCAGACTGTCTCTCAGCAGTCCAGGCTTTCATACAACCCTGTAGTTAAACAGCCACTACTGCATTTATTGGTTATGCTTCTTCATCTTACATTCTAACCCTGCAAAAGCTTGTAAAACTAATAGCTGTTACCAGTATCATGGGGATTTTTTTTCCTGTTTCATTACGGACAAAATCTATGGTCAAAATCTATGTCCAAAACAAGAGAACAGCAACATTGGCTCTGTTTTCAGGTGGAACAAGGCGGCCTGACTCTTGCAGTAGAGCGTGTGACAGATGGCAGGTGATCGCTATGACAGCCCAGGTTCCTTCCCGGAGGGAGGCCTGGCAGGCGGCTTCATCAGAACTTGGCAAGAGACCAGGTGCCCCCCGGTCTGCAGCAAAGGGGAACTTCACCGAGTTGGAAATTCAGCAAAATGGGCACGACATGAACTGGCCTAATTTAAAGTATCGGAACTCCTAAAAATTTCAGCAGCATTTTTAGCAGTGCAGCCCATCTAGCTATTTCTGAATCCTTGGTCTAGACCATCTCCACCTATTGCCTGAGAACTTCAAGGCGTGTGTCATTAAGACAACAAACTGGTACAGCTTTCAAGAAAGCACACAAACTTAACTCTACCATATCATTTAAAAAACAACATCAACAACAAATCTTGAACATGCCTCACTAGTTTAAGTAGACATAAGACTTTCCCAGAAGATAGGATCACAATCAAAGCAGTAAAACAGCCAGGGCATCAATGTGCACTCTGGTGTGGCCCAGATGTTGGCTGTTCATTTAAGATCTCCAGCAGTCAGAGAAGTAACATTCACATTATTCAACCTCCCTAAGAAGCCCTCCAAGAYGACTGAATTTTGGTAGCAAAAGCCTTTAACAAAAGTTTGAAAGTTGTATGTTACATGAATGATGGCAATGTTAGAAAMAACTCCCCAGAAGGAGAGAACTGAGAGGGCAATAGCAAGCAACTTGTCCACAAGCATTCACCTGGATGGAAGCAGGTCCATATTACAAAGTAATAACAGAGCCAAGGCATTCATCCAACACTTCCCAGAAAGCCCGGGTCTGTAAGGCAGTGCCCAAGACACCACCAGGAAGAAAAAYGCAGCAGGATTTAAGAGGATCATTCATAGGATGATAAAAAGGCTGCTTAACCTCAAGCACACTGAGGGGAGGTTTCCTTTCCGTCAAAGTCCTGACTTCTCTGTAGAATTTTTTTAGCTTTTTAAAAACAGCTGTTCAAAAAGAAAAAAAGGACACAACTAAGTGGATCACATAACCTACCTAAAACGGTTATTCCTGGATGCATTTTTTTAATGGGAAAATAAAGAGAATTTTGAAAAAGTCTTTAACCTGTGTAGAATGGGAATTAAAATGCATACTACTAGCACTTTATAACTAACTCCAAGGTTAGAACAAAAATAATAGGTATAATATTAAATAAAAATGAYATTTTGGATTTCCATTAAGTTGCAGTTTAACTCATTTCACTTGAAATTTCTTTTAATACGGCAGTTAACAGCAATGAAGTACATTATCCTCTCCAAAACACCCTTACCTAATTCTTAAGCCAAAAATGACCTCTGATTCAATAGATTAGTGCCAGAAAATAACCAAATTTAAATAGTAAAAAGATATCATAGGAGAATTTATAACTCATCACCACATTCTCAATTTTCTCAGACAATAAAAAACTATCAAGCTTGCAGTTTAATGAAGGTCATTGGTAGCTATAAAGCAAAGATAAAATCCTGAAATGGAGAAGGGAAAACTGTTTGGTTATAGGCAACCACTGTGTAAATCTGTCTGACAGCCATCATAAAACCAACTCTTTCATATTTTGCCCCTTGATGTAAGACAGGGTGTAAGCACCAGGAAAGATACAAAGAGAATATGAATTAATGTTTAACTTAGAAAAGTTAAATTTGTATTGCATTGACCTTCCCACACTGCAGTAACAAGAAAAAAAAAAAGGGGGGGGGGTTTCTATATAAATTATTTATATACACACATACATAATTAACCCATGGAAACAGGATTCTCTTAAGCCTTGCTGAGCTCTCACCCCAGCAGAAAGACAAGACAATTGGTCATCATGAGAACATCCACCACCACACAAAATAAGGTAAAAACTGGGCTTAGGCAGGACAAACAGCTCCCAGGACAAACATCACCTTCCTTCAAAGTATAAAGCAGGCATTAAAAATAAAATTAAGGAAAAGCTTCCCATCTAGGCAGTTTCTTGACCACCACAGAATTTACTGGACTCTTCTACTTAAGCATCTAGTATCACCTAAGGTAAGACACTACCTGCACCAGAAAAATGTTTTATTCTCTACAAAATCTACTTTGGTCCACTATAAGAACCCCTCTTTTAATCTTTCATCTTTCAGAGTTGTACTGCAATTCAAACAGTAGTGCTGGTTGAGGGATGACACTCGGTTTCTCACCATTCGTGAAAAGCATGCCGTAAGGATTCCACTTCCAGATCCTACATCAAGTGCTTTGGCTCCTTCATGTAACTGATCAGAGAGAAGTTCAAGAGCATATGCATGCTGAGAGAGACACAGAGAGAGAGAGAAAGGAGGAGGAAAGAAAGAGAGAGAAAGAAAACTTTGTAATGTTTCCAGTTTGTTTTACCTGACACATGTTCATTTCTTCAATGTTTTCGAGCAAGAAGATTAGTGTAGAAAATTTCAGAATTACTTCTGACCACACACACACACACACACATTCAAAAAGTTAACTATATAACATATACTTGTTATTTCACCTACTCCAACCATGTATTCTAACTACTTGAGTTTCTGACACACTCTGACCTTAAATATAATTACTGGGGCAGATACCATAAAGCAATTCAACATTTCAAGTCTGGTAATTCTCACTATTCTGGTGGTATAGGGTCTGTAAATAATTTGGCATGTCATTATACTTTCCCACCATGATGTAACAAGAAAAAAATAAGTGTTTTTTTTTTTCCCCTTTGAAGATAAATTATTTATACACATACACAGTAATTAATCCATGGAAATCGGGCTGAAATGCGGTCCATATGCATTGGACACGCTGGCCTTGATGCTAGCTATAATGGAGGCAAGTTTGGAGGGCCAGAGAAGGGACTCTGTAGGTTAACTTCTTGCACTACCTGCACATTTGCTGAATCAAACAGTGACAAAAAATAAAGTTGTCTACTACAAAGGCAACAGCCCACAGGAGTCACACATGAGAGTATAGCAGTCTACAGACACACTTTGTAGGCAATTTTGCTTTCTTCTATAGAAGAAATCTATCAGTCTATATTGTAAACCAATACAAAACCTAAGTTTTTGTTGCACACTAAAACAATTGTTAATACTTAATGTTTTTCAGATGGCCACTGTCAAACCCTTAGGATTTAGGATTCCAGAGAAGGAATACAGAAATAATTAAASTATTTATTGTTTTAGCATTTGCTATAAAGGATATGTTTTCTTTTCGTTTCAATGCTTCATATAACATCAATGAAAAGCATCAAATAATTCAAAATTTAATGACTCGGCTTAAAGCTTAAGCTTTAAGCTTTGAAGACACAGCTTGTATGTATGTTATTGCTTAACCACAGTTGCATTATGCRTCTTTGTATCCTGGCATGCAGTTATTAACATTTTCATATAAAAAAATGTTTTTATTATAAATACTTAGGAATATCCAAATGCTAATAAAAAGTCAAAAGGAACACACTTTTACTAACAATTTAAACCATCCTTACTCTAAGGGTTTCTCACTTTGCAAACAATGCATGGACAAAACATATGCTTCTATTCATTCTTCATATCAAATAAAATAATCTTAAGAAAATGTATGTCTGTACTACATACATATATATATAGGAACTGAAATACYCCTTTAAGGCTTTATTTAGGGCTCAGTCATGAAGCCCTGATCACAAACCACTTGGCAAGAAACACATATCTCAGTGTGATATAATTTATTTTTCCTGTCCGAAAAATTAAGGACATCACACCAATAAAGCATTACAGAAATTACTGTTGTTCACTCCTGCACTCTTATCTTTTTACAACTTTGATACTAAACTGGGAAGAGTGCCCGATACCCCACAAGATGGGTATGATGGTCAGAGGGGAACCAACAGAGGGGTTGGAGAGCTGGGCAGAGAGGAACCTCATGAGGTTCAACAAGGACAAGTGCAGGGTCCTGCACCTGGGCAGGAATAATCCCAGGCACCAGCACGGATTAGGGGTTGACCTGCTGGAAAGCACCTCCACGGAGAGGGACCTGGGAGTCCTGGTTGACACCAAGTTAACCATGAGTCAGCAGTGTGCCCTCGTGGCCAAGAAGGCCAATGGGATCCTGGCTGCATCAGGAGGAGTGTTGCCAGCAGGTCAAGGGAGGGGATCCTGCCCCTCTGCTCAGCTCTGGTGAGGCCGCACCTGGAGTACTGGGGGCAGTTCTGGGCTCCCCAGGACAAGAGGGACGTGGAGCTTCTAGAAAGGGTCCAGCACAGGGCTACAAAAGAGATTAGGTGACTGGAGCTTCTCTCCTATAAAGGAAGGCTGAGAGAGCTCAGACTTTTGAGTGTGAAAGAGATCTTATTGATATACACAAATATCTTCAGGGAGGGTGTCAAAAGGATGGGACCAGACTCTTTTCACTGGTGCCCAGCAACAGGACAAGMGGCAATGGGCACAAAGTGAAACCCAGGAAGTTCCGCCTGAATGTGAGGAAAAGCTTCTTCACTGTGAGGGTGACAGCACTGGAACAGGCTGCCCAGAGAGGTTCCAGAGTCTCCTCCTCTGGACATATTCAAATCTTATCTGGATGTAATCCCATACAATGTGCTCCAGGTGACCCTGCTCAAGCAGGGAGCTTTAACCAGATGATCTCCAGAGGCTCCTTCCAATCTCACCCACTCTGTGAGTGAGGGTAATTTATATTGGAAGAACCTGTGGAAATCAGATGATCCTTTTTCAAAGCAGAACTTAAAATTGGCTGCTCAGATTCTTGTCCAGTGGACCACAGTATCTCTGTGGAACAGATTCTACAGTCTCTCTAGTAAACTTGTTTCAGCACTTGACCCCTGTCACTGTGAAAACCTTTTTTTTYCCCCAATATCGAATCAGAACATCCCGTGTTTAGTTTTTGGCCATTATCCCTCAATTCTATCACTGTTAGCCTACAAGAAAACTCTGGCTCGGTCTTCTTTGATTCCTCTCATTTGGTGGTTCTCATAAGCCTCCCTATTAAATAACATTTGATGAATTTGTTAGGAAAAATATTTTATTTTAGAAACATTTGGWTTTTTATAAAGTCACCTTCAGGAACCATGTAAATTTAAAGCTTACCATGTGTGGAGCACTGATTGTTGCTTGGAAACCTGCAAAACCAGGAAAACGAAGAACATATTGATACAATTTTCAGAGAGCGACCCTACTGCTTTTCCTGCTCTTGACTATAAAAAGCAAACCCTTCCTCACTACTGTCGTTCAGCACGCTGCACAAAAACATCAAGTAAAGGGGCATCACCTGCAAGTTGTGTGAGCTGGGCCATGGCACCTCTGAAACAGGCTGGGAAAGATCCTATTCTTGACCTCAGTTACAAGCTCCATTTTGGCACTATTCTTCCATAGTTTTGTCAAGAACATTCAGTTTAAAAGGGTAACAGTCCCCAAAACAAAGCATTTCCTTTTCCTATTCTATGCAAAACCTGGATTTGTTGGCTACAGATTGACACACAGGCCATTGTACGGCCTATAAATCCCCTGGTATGCTCTGTTTCCAAAGAGCATACATATACCCGAGAGAAAATGTGGAAGAGTATTCATCTGTGCTTACTTCTGTGGCAATATTTACAACTCTGTATATGTATCTTTGCACATCTTTGAACTATTCTATCCAAATAATAAAGCCAGAACATTTAATTCATTCTCCTGCCTTGCAAAGACAGAAGTAAGGACTTAGATGGAAAATAAGTGCCTATAAACAGATCATTTCCATTAAAAGAAAACCTTACTTTAAAATCTATTTTTATATAAAAACATCATGTAAAAGTTTTAGGATCTCCACACTGACCTCAGCTGAATCATTTTTGTAAAGAAACCAACCGTCTCGCAAGTAAACCAGCTAAAAGGGTAACGTAAGAATTTAAAAGTCAACTAACCCATCACACAACTTGCTTATGGTTAAAGAATAAACACATCTTTACACATATTAATACTGACTAATGAGCATCAATATGAATGTTCTTGATTTAGCCGAGTACATTACCTGTGCAGCATAACAAAYAGAAAATTTGTACTTGAATGTATTCAATGAACTGATAAAAAGAAAAACATGCTCTCAAAATTTAAAAATCAAACCAACATTCTTAATACCCAGATGACAAAGGAAGTCACTGGCACACTAATTAGGGGAGACAACCACTTTTGCAACATGGTCTTACCTATAGACTGAGGAGAATCCATATAAGGGTTGTACTTTGCATAGTGGCATCGGTCTGTAGCCAACATTACTTCAAATACCTTGTCTGATTTGATTATTCCATTTTCTAAAAAAGAAGAATAAATAAAATTGAAAACCTTCTTTTTCTTCTACAATGCTAAAAGCACGTGAGACACAGGAATACATTTCTAAAATGGAGAGAAATCATGTTACTTCATCCTTTTCAATACTCTAAACTCTACCATACCCAAATTTAGGCTTTGATCTAGTTCGAACAGTGCTTAAGCTGGTAAACCTGGAACAAGACTTTCCTGGCTGTTACAGATGTTTTTCTGAAAGATTAGARATCACTTTCAAAGCCCCATCCCCTAGGAAAACAACCAACCAAGCAGAAAACAAGAACTATGAACCTCACACCTTTTGTAGTCCTGAACACTAATTCAGTAAGAAACATATTAGTTTAAACTAAACAACAACCATGAGCTCTGTTCGTATTTCCAAGAAATTTGTTAGGAGACCAGTAATTGAGAAAGATATCTAAACAGTGTACAAGAGTAAAGCCACAGCATCCTTGCTTAGCATTTTATTTTCAAGTTTTTCTATTTTAAAGAAAGAATGAAAGAATGAAAGAATGAAAGAATGAAAGAATGAAAGAATGAAAGAAAGAAAGTTTCTTTTTAAAGAAACTCCTACAGAACCAGAATTCTTTTGCTGGAGAAGACTGAGGCCACAGAATATTCATATCAAAACACTTTGAATCTTTGTTCACTTTTCAAAATAAAATGTGAACGCATATGTGTGTAAAACATCAGAAACATAATGTAATGTAGTCATTTTTTCTAACTTTTGTTTATAGGTGTTTTAGTCATTTATGTATTAGTTATAAAGAAATAAGTAGCAGAAAATCTGGGAAAAAAAGAGAAAAGTCTAATAGTTTACATTAAAAAGAACAGTTTAATAACSAGAATTTCAGTAACAGAATGCTTTACTGAACTACTGATTTTAAACAAGGAGCATTTCTTTGGAAAAATGTCTTTTTTATTATTATTTTAATTTGGGCACTTGCAAACTGTAGCCCAAAATGCAGTATTATAAAAATCAGTTTTACAAATTTTTGTGAGATTGTCTCAACTGAAGTATGTTTTTGAACATACTACTGAAATGAAGGCATTAAGCAGCCTCTGCAGAAGTTAATGCAGACCCTGACAGGAGATTTCTCAACTGCCCGCAATGTGCTCCTAACCACGCTTATCACTTGTGGCTTTTTGTTCGTTTTCCTCCCTACTTCTGGTGTTCTAGGCTTTCATTACCCTTGATAACACAGTCTTGACATTAGAGAGGAAAATAACCCCAAAAGATGTTTTGCGTCCTGTTCCAGAGACAAAGTATCAAGTAAGATACCAAATTATGAGGAAAAGAATATATAAGTARTTATAGAGTAGCGGAAAATGAAATAGAAGACCTTTCCTTCCTCCAGCAGTCAGTCCCAAGAYGACCAAGAACAAGCATTTTAATTCTGTTTAGAAAAAGTATGTATCAGTTTCTGAATTGTTCAATACCTACCCTTAAAAAATCCTACCATATAAGCTTATATTGCAAAGAAGTCATTCTAATTCYATACTAGCTCTAAATGTCCCCAAAAATAAATTTAGTAAGCTATTTACTAATAAAATAGCTATGTAARACAGCTTCTAAGAGTCTTATGGAAAGCTATGTGTGGCAGGAAAGTCATTCATAATTAAACAGATCTAGCTTGATTTTTCTTTTCAGATGCACAGATGTCTCCTCCCTGGAAGTTAAATGACTGCTTGGCTTCAAAATTCTGTTAATCCATACAGAAACCAAAACAGATATTAAATTACAATGCGCTTACAAGCAAGGACCTACAGTGAAACTCATTGGTTAGTTAAGAGTTTAAAGCCAAAATTAAGTTTCATTTCTTAGTTTCCTCAGCACAACTCCCAAGCTTCAGCGGGCTGAAGCTGTAAAGCGACGACTTCCGAGCAGAGCTCGGSCTGCAGAGTTCAAGAGCTGCTCTGTTCGGAGGCTGCTGCAATGACAACTTGACATAATTGGAGCATGTTTTGAAAACTTACTCTGGGCTGCTTCTCTTTCACAAATAGCATCTTGAAAACAGAAAGCAAAAAGGAGCTCCCGCAGCAGCCCTGCGTTASGGGGTGTAAATACACCCTTGAATTGAATGTAACCAGGGAGACAGRGCAGCTGCCTGCCAGGGAGCAGGAGGGCCAGAACTGTGAGTGTCCCGGCCTCGCCGCACGCAAGCGAGCGCTGCGTTTGCCGAGAACCGACTCCCGAAGCGCTCCTCCTCCAGCAAACTGCTTACACATCAGGGCGCTATCCTGACTGTTGATCAAACAGGTTTGCAGCTAAACCATAAACTGTGCACGGTCAACATCGCCACTGATGCTAGCTTCTAGATCACACGCACAAAGAAAGGATGTCTCACTGCTCTATYATATGACCTAATACCAGCTTACTGTTCCAACTACGTCCTGCTAGAGTGGCCTGCCACAGGTGAGGAACAGCTGCTGAGGCACTGTGTGCTGCAGGATTCACGTGGACAAAACGCTCATGCAGCTCCCAAAGCAGCTTTCTGAGAGGCTGTTTCAGCATCAACGCAGTTCAGCTTGCTCACAGACGACTTTCCCCCTAACTACTGCAAAACACTTCCAATAGAGCAGAAATACYTCAGATCAAAGAGAGGTCTTAAAGTACAATGCACAGAAGAGCCCTATCTTGCAGAAGATTAAATCAAGTTGATTCCAATTACTTAAGCGGGGAACAACTTTTCAGATGTCTCCATTCGAACCATATAAACAACTAGCAATTTCCAGAAAGAAAACAGATCTTGATTTTCAAGCAACGTGAAGCCACTTAGTATTAAACAGCTGCCCGGTCGACAGATGTTGTTAAGGCTTGGGTCTTTATGGGAGGGAGAGGAAGATGACGGCTTTTTTGATTTATTTGTTTTTGYTTTTTAGTGAACAGAACATAGACATATGTATGCACAGCTATATTGTTCCCTTGTATTGCAGGCTAAGGTTGAAAAGTATGTATTAACCATTTTTTTCCTGTGGGGATAGTAAGTCATGCTAGCTCTTATTGCTATGAAACACACAGCGTAGAGCTGAAGTAATCCCAACCCTGTCCCACTCACTTCGATGGCCATATCAGTCCCAATCAGCTCCGTATCAGCAGCTGAGCGTGCAYGAAGGAAAGAAGCGACATGGGGACAGGCTCAGCCCACGGCTGCCCACGCTGCCTTTTCCAATAGGCCATAAGAGGCCTGGAYGAAGCCAAGGAAGACGTTTCTTCCAAGCACTAGCAGCCCATCCCGGTCGCTTGGTATTTGGAGGGAATGAGCTACACGGACAGATCACATGGGAGCTCAAACCGAGGTGGTGACAACCATCAACAGTAACAAAAYTCTTTGGCAGATGTTAAGATAAACATATCTGGATAGGATATATAGATAAAGAGCTGTTCTCCCAACAAGGTGTGAGGCAAGGTTGCTCAGGATCTTCAGCAAATCTTTGAAGATGGGCAGACGTTGCACATCCTACACCCCCAGAACAGATCTACTGGCTGCCTGCGACGATGAAGGTGGCTTCATTAAAACAGACATTAATACTGTGCTGCGGGTGACCTTTCAAGCACCCAAGCCTGATTTCCTAGGCTAAGCACCGAGCAAGTCTCTCTCAACTTGCTCTGAGGCTTCACCTGCTGCCCCGCAGCACCTCCATCAACACGGAGAACCCTAAAGGCGACGCTCCTGGAAAGCAGGACAGCCAGCCCCCCTGCTAGCGGCAGCGAGCTCTGCCGTCTCGATGCATGTCCCAAGCTAAAAAAATCCTTCATAAATCAAAACAGTATTTACAGAGTATTAACAAATGTACCAACTGAGATACAAACTGTCATACACAGCTGTTGTATTAGCAGTAATAAGGAAGGACGTACAACGTTACATGTGAATGACTATCTTCTTTTCTTGTCAGTCTCTAATGCTTGCAAGCATTAAAACCTATCCTGTATTCAAGACCAGTGTTGTGGCACTTGGGCTCTGAAGTCTCAAAATACAACTCCTAAGTCAACCATTCCAGGAGGAATGTCCTTCCAAAAATGTACTGGCCTCAAGTTCGGAAAAAGTGTGCCCTGATTTTGCCAAAAATTGATGTTGTTAGTTTGTTCGCATCAAAACAAAAAGCATTACCTCATGAGATTAATTGTACTAATCAGCCTGAAGAATTTTTTTTCTTGTAAGAATTAAACAACACTAGCAAGCAAGACTTTGCTATACTGTTATATTTGCAGAAASAGACATTCAAAATAACACTAAGATTTTGCAGCTTCTTCCCAAGCTCACGGACATCCCTCAGTAAGCCCTTTACGCTACACCAGGATAAAATAAACAGTAGCASTAAAGGAAAAGCTTGGAGTTTATCGTTTTATTGAAACCAGAACATAGCAGGTTCCAACTTTTTAACATGCCCACAAGCAAGGACAATCACCTGCAATGGAAAGACTTGCAAAAATATTTTCATGGCTCTGGGTGTCCCTGCTGGAGCAGGTGGCTTGGACTGGATGATCCATCATCCAGCCTCAACCATTCTGTGATTCTGGGCACTATGGATTATTAGGCAACTTCATGCCACCAGAGGGGAAAACAAAAAGCAAAAAAAAAAAAAAAGGAACAAAACAAAAAACTCACACTTTTCAATCAAGTAAAAGAAATAAGCATTTTAATTAAGAAGACTGAATCAGAAAAGTGCTGTATTAAGCAGCCAAAAACATACTGCTTTTTTTGTTGTTTTTTAAAGATAACTGAAGCTTCGGACTTTGTTTCACTGAATTTTGGGATTGTTTCGGAAGAAAATAGGACATGGTTTTGTCATTACATCAACATCTTGCTAATATTTAGGGCAAAAATGGATATGCTAATAAAACAGAACTGGTTAAGACCGCAATCCTAATTTACATATAAATATAAATAAAATATGATGCTTTTTGGTTTTTTAAAWTTTTTTGTTAATATTTCTTTCTTTCTGGACTGTTAAATTGCCTTGATTTACTCGAGGGTCA